TAGCATCAGCAATGAAGAAAAAACACTAACTAACAAAAGATCTTGATGCAATGGAAAACATTCAGGCTAACATGAGCCTTGTGCTCAGAAACATTTAAGGCAGAAAATAATAGAATTATACCTCGAAAGTTGTGAAACCATGTCTCAATGTTCTGAGAACCAGTCTGAGATATGACCAGTTGCATATATCTTTTCCCTAAAGTTACTATATATAAAATGCTTTGTGGAGGGTGGACAGGGAGGGATTCACTGTAGCTCAGCCACCAGAGATATGCTTCAGTTCATAAGTCTGTAGTAAATGCTTCTTTCTGAGAAATTGGAGTCAGCCTCTTTCTTCAGCCTCTCAGCTCCCTTGGCCTTTGGGGGTATATTTGCATTTACCTATTCACCTTGGAATATTCCTCTTTTCCTAGACATATATTCTCACATATTATTTATTTATTTATTTATTTTTGGAGATGGGGGTCTCACTCTTACCCAGGCTGGAGTACAGTGGCAAGATCTCCTCTCACTGCAAACTCTACCACCTGGGTTCAAGTGATTCTCCTGCCTCAGACTCTTAAGTAGCTGGGATTACAGGTACCTGCCACTGTGTCCGGCTAATTTTTGTAGTTTTTAGTAGAGGCGGGGTTTCATCATCTTGGCCAGGCTGGTCTTGAACTCCTGGCCTTGTGATCCACCTGCCTTAGCCTCCCAAAGTGCTGGGATTACTGGCGTGAGCCACCAAGCCCAGCCATACCCTCACTTATATGTGAAATCTTAGAAGTGGAACTCATAAAAGTAGACTAGAATGGTAGTTACTAGAAGTGGGGAATAGGACATAGAGAGAAGTTAGCTAAAGGATACAAATCACTCAAGTAGGAGAAATAAATTTAAAAGGTCCATTGTACAACCTGGAAATAATGGTTGGTAGCAATTTATTGTATTTTGAAAATACCTAAGAATGTGAATTTTAACTGTTGTCACCTCAAGAAAAAAATAATTAGTATATGAGATAATGCCCATGTTACTTAGCTTGATTTAGCCATTTCACAATTTATACATATTTCAAAATGTCAGGTATATGACAAATATGTATATAATTTTATTTATCATTTGATCTTATCCAAAAGGCCAAGAAGCAATTATAATTTTTTTATCAATTTAAATAAATAAATAAAAGAGCTATTACAACTCTTTAGGTGGTAGGTATGACAGGCATTTTAAATCATTTCCTGTGATCATAACAGCAACTTTATCTGATAGGAATTATTGTCTCTATTTTATGAGTATACTGAAGCTCAGGAAGTTAAATAACTGGCTTTCATTTAGTTGACACAATAGCACTTAACCAGTAAGCTGGGTCAACTATCTCAAAGGATGGTCCCTATTGAGGCAGGCACAAACCTTCAGTTGCTGGGCTGTGAGAATGCCTAAGAGTTGGTACCATAAATCGCGGAGTAGTCTTGGGTTTCAGACAACACAAATGTGCCTATATGTTAATCTCTGCAAGTCATACATTTTTGTCTCGTTATTCCACCTCAAGCACAAGTGCAAAAATTTTTCTATGTCAAGACTGACATTTTGTACCATGACATTTTGTATATCACTGCTATAAAATACAGATTCTTATCCATAATAGAGAACCAAAAAATATTTGCCAACTAATTGTTAGATATGAGAAATATTTACTTACCTCCATAGTATTTATTTCATATATGCATTACCCTTATGTTTGAGAAAACTGGAATTTCCTCATATTGTCTATGTGGTTTGAAATAACTGACTTGTATTATCTCTTTTGTTTTTACACTAATTTCTACAAAAACAATTAACCTTTAAAGGTATGGAAAGTTTTTATTTCTTGATGTTTTCTCTAACCGTTTTTGGCTTTTAGCTTTGGAACTGTCCCAATGGAAATATTTGTAACCAATTAAGATGTGGTAACCCAGTATCTTTTTTTACATGATGATTAGTTATGTGAACAAAGATTAGTGATACAAATATGCTTAAGAGAATAAGAGCCGATTTGTCAATTCATTAAGTTGAATTCAATATCAGTGATATCTGGTGTGATGGCATCTCATTAATAGGAATGAGTGTTTATAATAAAATCAGTGACTATGAACTTTTATTTTACAAAATAAAAAGTCACTAACAATACCCAGTTAAGTTGTCATGCTAGCCTATGACCATTGGTTAAGTTATTCTTTATTTTAGAGATGAGTAATAAAAAGTCTCTCTCACACAAAAAGATGTTCCAGACTTAACACTTTCCTAGCTTTTCATTGTCCCAAGGATTTTTTTATTAAAAATCCTTTTTAATTTTTTAAATAGGATTTACAATGCCCTTTGTGATAAGATGTAATGTGTCAACTTGACTAGACCACAGGGTGCCCAGATATTTGGCTAAACATTATTTCTGGGTGTGTCTGCAAGGGTGTTTTTGGATGAGATTAGCATTTGAATTAGAAGGCTCAGTAAAGCAGATTGCTTTCCTCAGTGTAGGCTGTAATCATCCAATCCTTTGAAGGCCTAAATCAAACGAAATGCAGAGGAAAGGAGAATTCACCTTTTTTGCCTTACTGCTTGTGCCAGAAACCTGGTCTTCTCCTGCTGTCAGGCTGAGACTCATGCCATTGGCTATCCTGGGTCTCCAGCTTGCAGACAGCAGATCATTGGAGTTTTCAGCATCTGTAGATGCATGAGCTTAATTCCTCCTAATAAATCTTCCTCCATCTTACCCCTTAGTTTCTTGACCATCAAAAAACTAAAGTGAAAAATTTAAAAACATAAAAAATAAAGGTCATTTCCTTTCTACTTTATTCAAAAGAAAATTATGAAATTGCTACTCTATACCAGGCACTACTCAGGAATGTGGAGATACTACATTGGTAAACACTACTCAGGAATGTGGAGATACTACATTGGTAACCTCATGGAGCTTATATTCTAGATGGAAGAGAAAAACTTCAGTAACAAGTAAATATTGATATATAATACATTAAAGGCTAACCTGTGACAAGAAAAGAAAACACAGCAAAATAAGAAAGATCAGAAGTGTGGGGGCAAGGGAAGGCTCAGTTTTAGATAAAGTGGCCAGCGTAGGTGCTGCTGAGATGATATTTTGAGCGAAGACTTGAAGGAGATTGGGAGAGAGCCACGGAAATTTTTGAGAGCAGGGAGGACTTATCCATTAGGCACAGCAGGCACAGTGCTTAGGGCCCAGGGTACTTTTAGCAACATATATTTTACCCTTTTTTCTAGTCAGAAGGGTAAAAATGAACTCTTAGGGTTGGAGATAATATTTAACTGTTTACCCTGGATAGATTTTAGTCTTTCTTCTACCAAAACAACCCTTATATATACATTTTATATATGTTAAATATGTATTGATTATATATTTTTACACACACGTGTGTGTGTGTGTGTGTAACATTCATTTGTTTTTTGATAAAGCACAGGGCTAATAGGGCAAGGACCTAAGGCCCAGGAAAGTCATAAAGCAGCCCTATTTGAAAACAGGGTTTCTAGTCAACAGTTGCCATTATCATCAGAATGAAATATATTAATGAGACATAATTGGTATATCAACTAGAAACAGCCTGGAGAAGAATTTGTAGGGCTTTCAGAGACTTACAGAACTAAAACCACTTTATCGTTTAAATCCTAATATTATACCTTAAATCCACAGTTATCTAATTAGACCTCAGTTGATGAGTTATAATGGTTAAACATCATTTTTTTTAGTCGATAGTCCACAAATTCAATATTATTTCTTGTCAGTTTCCCCAGTATCTCTGATGACAGTTCCTTTTGTGGAAAGCCCTTTGTATATTTTACACAGTTAGTACAGACAGGCTTTAAAGAATAAAAACCCACTCTAATAATAAAAGTAGAAGAGAAGTGATGGTAATTTATTTCAATGAGCAAATCATGAAATGGTGATGAAGAGTTAAATTTACCTTATTCAGAATACCCCAAAGTCCAAGAAAAAGTGTATTTAGTTTCCATGGAGAAAAGAAAGAAAGCAAAAAAGAAAGATGAGAAATTAAAATACTTGGATGGCAAAAGCAAGCAAGGAAAGATAAAGAGCTAGGTAAACACACAAAATATCACCAACTGAATTCAATAAATGGGCATTGTAAAGTGAGAGGTCTGTCATTTTTATGGAGGTTTTGGGGAAATTTAAAATTCCATTCCAATTCTATCTTTTTTTTTTTTCATTCTCACTTCATTTTCAGTCCCTATATTCCTCGGGCTCTAAAATATAAGTTTCTTATCACTTAGTAATTAAATTTAAATTTTAGAATTAACTTATAAAGAAAACTTTTATTATCAGTTTTTAATAAATGTACTGAGTTAATCTATGTGTGGGGCTGGAGGTATTGTGGTGCTGGTGGTGAATGCAAGGTGGGTGCTGGGGATTAAGACTGACTTGCTGACTGATTGACTGATTAGTTCAGGACATAACGAAGAAGAGGACCATGGGTAAGTCCTGAAGCACAATCATGAAGCATAGAAATAGGTGGGCTTCCTTTCATATAATTTCTGACATACATTTTTTTAACTACTCTTCAATCTCCTTTATTACCGTGTCCTCCATTAATCTCTCCGTAGGTTCCAGCCTCTGTTCTGTCACAGGTTTACAGATACAGAACAGTATCATAAGTATATAACAGCAAGTTTATCATCTTTAATGCTTGTTTAATAAATCAGAGGGTAGCAATAGGACAAGTGGTGGCTTAGAAGAAATGGAGGAATCAAGAAAAATAATATGTATTATATAGAACTGTCTTGAGGATTCAAAGTAGTATATATCTACATCTACATAACTATAACAAACCTTGAAATAAGTTAGTGGCTACTTGACATGTTTTTCTTCTTTCATCCTTATTTTGATATCAGAAAAACTTTCAATTAAAAGAATAAGCCAAATGTGCAGGTATTTAGTGGTGGCTGCCCATAGCTACCACCAAATAGAATATGGAACATGAAGAAGCTATTCAGAACCCTTTCTTTCCAGTCTCCCCTCCTCTATTCTCTCATGTACATTGCCTAAACCTCTCAGAGTTTCATCATAACAATGACAGCATTGCCTCCATCATGACCACAAGTATTTTAATCTTCCCTCTTAATTCTATCTATTTAAAGTCCCCTTCTTATTTACTTTTGTGGACTGCTTGGTTCCAAAACAGTGCCTAGAAAAAGTAAAGGTGCATAGTGAGTATTTGGTTACTTGAATTAAAGTTGAAGAAATTGATTTATTCCTTTCATATGTTATACTTCAGAGCCTAGGAAATTTATTTCATGGTTATAAGGTATAGCATACATAATTTTATTAAGTGGCGACTCGGAGATAATGAAACATTTCTTAATATATTTACAATTTACTAATTCTTGGAAAATGTATTATTTGTCACACAGAAGCTCAGGAGGAAAAGTTGGTGAAGAGACTTCAAGGAGAAAAGTGTACAGAACTAAAATTGTGGATACTATTGGCATATGGATTTGCACCTCTTCACTGAACTCAAAGGACACTCCATTCTCCTGGAGAGGTATTTGTAACTCTGGATGGCCAGATAATTGCCTGTTAAATAGTGAATGAAAATTGTCGGGGGGTGAGAGAAAATGCAAGTCATTTACATTCCTCAGGAGAATTTGCAAACTAGTTCTACACCTCAAAGCAGTTTAAAGGAAAGTAGGTTGAAGGGTCATTGAAAAGAGATACAACTGATAAAGGTTGATTAGAATTTCTTGTCATATTAGCCAGTTAATGATGTATTTAAATTATCCTGTAGGCTCTTTCATTATACCTTAATGTTCAGAATTTAACTCTTTTAGTTTGAAAGTCCTGGATGAATTTTTTACATTTGAAGATGAATAATTCAAATATAGGACAGAGAGTACTGCTTAGAGCTACATACAAGATAAAGAGCAAAGGGTGATGTGTTGATGACAAGCTGAAGAAGTTAGCAAAGGTAGGTCCTTCCTCCCAACGGCATTTGAGTTCTGCAGTGGTACAGTTTTTATGATCACTTTTGGCACTGTCTTTGGAAAACAAGCATCTATATACCCTTTTGACACCGTGCTTCTACCTAGAAATCTATTATTAAAAATGCTTAACATGCTCAAAGATAAAAGTACAGGTATTTTTATTACCATATTGTCTATAACAGCAAAATACTGAAAACAAAATAGATTCCTAGCAATATAGGGCAAAGTTAAATTGATTATGGTATAGTCCAAGCAACTAATAGTGTTATATCAAACTCAGCACAGAACAAAAGTATGCCAAATTACAGGGTTTATTGCCTGCGACCACGGAGGACTCACGTCTCTCCAACCCGTGGCCCCGAAAGAAGAGAGACAAGACCTTTTTATATCCGCAAAACCACCTTGGGAGTGGGGATGGAGATGGGAATGAAAGCTGTCAATCACCTCCCAGGCTAAGATGAGGGTGAGGGGATTCAGACATTCCGAGGACCAGTGGATTCAAATCACCTCTGGGAGGAGAGGAGGGTGAGGGGGTTCTGGACATTTCGAGGGCCAGGGGACTATTTGACATTATGATTGTTATTTAAGGGGTTCACAGATGCTAAGATTAGCATTCATTTACATATCGTCTGGGTAGGGGTGGGATCCATAGATTTTCAGTTGCTTGGCGCCAGGATGGAATTATCTGGGGGTGCTTACTCTGGGAAACAAAGGCCAGCAATTCTGTCAGATAAGAGAAGATATGCAGCTTTACCTCTCTTTGCATCCTGCAAATGATCTAGCAGTTTACAGAAACCAAGGTTAGCAGTCCTTGTGAGGAGAATGGTAACATTTTTGTCTTTCATAAGATGGCAGTATACAGGTTCCAACTTACGTTAGCTATATCAATAGTATACAACATACAGAAAAAAACAAGGTGAAAAACTATGCATAAAATATTAAGTGAATAAAATAAGTCACAGAGTAATATATTTTACATATGTTTTAAAACTCCTTTATATGTACATTAAAAAGGTATAAAATTGGCAGTCATGGTGGCTCACGCCAGGGGTCCCAGCTACTTAGAAGGCTGATACGGTTTGGCTGTGTCCCCACCCATAATCTCATCCTGACTTGTAGCTTCCACAATTCCTAGTGTTATGGGAGAGACCCAGTGGGAGATAATTGAATTGTGGGGGCAGTTCCCCCATGCAGTCTGTGATAGTGAATAAGTCTCATGAGATCTGATGGTTTTATAAAGGGAAATCCCTTTCACTTGGTTCTCATTCTCTCTTGCCTGCTGCAATATAAGATGTGCTTCTCGCCTTCTGCTATGATTATGGACTCCCAGCCATGTGGAACTATGAGTCCATTAAAACTCTTTTTCTTTATACCAGTCTCAGGTATGTCTTTATTAGCAGTGTGAAAACAGACTAATACAGAGGCTGAAGTGGGAGGATCACTTGATCCCAGAAGGTCTAGGCTGCGTTGAGCTGAGATCACACCACTGCACTCCAGCCTAGGGACAGAGCGAGTCCTAGTCTCAAAATAAGTGTAGAAGTCATATTCTTTCTTTTTAAATTTAAGTTGTATTTTAAATTCAGGGGTACACATGGAAGTTTGTTACATAGGTAAACTTGTGTCATGGGAGTTTTTTGGTACAGATTACTTCATCACCCAAGTATTAAGCCTAGTACCCATTAGTTATTTTTCCTGATTCTCTCCTTCCGCCTGTTAGAGTAAGCAACTAAACAGACATGGACAGGGCAGGAGAGCCCCCGACACCACCAGGAATGTCAGGTAACCTTTAGGTGATGGTCGGGGGATGGTTAAATGTCTCTCAAAAATAATAATTGGTTGCAGCTGGTACCAGAGAAAGACAGTAGAAGAAACCGGAAACTGCTCATGCCTGTAATCCCAGAACTTTGGGATGCTTGAGGCAGGCAGGTCACAAGGTTGGGAGTTTGAGACTAGCATGTCCAACATGGTGCAACCCTGTCTCTACTACAAAAAATTAGCCGGGCGTGGTGGCGCATGCCTGCAATCCCAGCTACTCGGGAGGTTGAGGCAGGAGAATCGCTTGAACCTGGGAGGTGGAGGTTGCAGTGAGCCGAGATAGTGCCGTTTTACTCCGGCCTGGGTGACAGGGAGAGACTTCATCTCAAAAAAGAGAGAAAAAAACGTAACACTGGTGATTAGTAGCTTCGTAAGATCTCAGGACTTGGGCAAGTGAGCTCGAGTATGCTCGCACTAAGAGGCAAAATGGCAGAGTTTAACTGGTATATGACCTTCCTCTACAAACACTGGACTGGTAAGGGAAGAATGCCTCAAGTGAGCACGTGCACAACTTCAGTGAACACACTGCACATGCAGCTCCTCGCTGGTGCTGGCAGGCTACTGTTCATGCAGATAGCACATCCCAAGGGAAGAATCAGGGAAGAAGGGACATGACCCCCTGGAAGCATGCCAACATGTAAAACACCAATTCAAAGGTGAGACTGTGAACTTGTCTTTCAAGTTGCTTGCTTGGCCTTCTTCCAACTGTATTTCCTTCCTTTTGTTTCTACTCGAGAGCTTTTTAATAAATGTTCACTCCTGCTCTAAAACTTGCCTTGGTCTCTCCTTCTCCCTTATGCCCCTCAGTTGAATTTTTTCTTCTGAGAAGGCAAGAACTGTGGTTACTGCAGACCCATACACATTTGCTGCCGCTAACACTCCCACTATCCACTTTCTGATAGGCCCTAGTGTGTGATGTCCTCTCTGTGTCCATGTGTTCTCATCATTTAGCTCTCACTTATAAGTGAGAACATGTGATATTTGGTTTTCTGTTCCTGCTTTAGTTTGCTAAGAATAATGGCCTCCAGCTCCATTCATGTTCCTGCAAAAGACATGATCTTGTTCTTTTTATGGCTGCATACTTTAAAAGAAAAATGTGTTATCTTATAATAAAAGTTTCAAAAATAGTTTGTTGATGTTTGTCGTTACTTAGTAATCTTGGGTTTAAAGTTGTAACCCATAAAATTTATGGGTACGTTTTCCAAAAATTTAACCCTGAGATTGCCCTACAAAATATAGAGTAAATTCAGATAAGTATTTTTGTTCAACATTCCACGAATATTCAAATGTATACTTCCCATTCTTTATTAATATAATCAGTTATTTAAGAGTCAAGAACATAAGTCACCAATTTATTTAAAATTATGTTTTAGGGCAACTTTGATATAACCTTTGTTATTTTTCTCATTAATCCCTATTTCTGCATTCATAGCGTACTATTTATAATCAAAAATATAATCCGGTACTTTTTGCATTACATTATTACCAGTTACTCAGCTTTTGATGAGCTATAATAGGCAATATCTCTAAAAAATTGTATCCGTGACGTGACTATCAAGTTTTTCAAGATGCCACTTTTACACGTCCCCAGAGATTTTCTCTTTCACAGAGATGTTCTTTCCTTCCTTGAAGTAAATTGGAAGAGGTAGCAAGGTCTCTACATTAGGAAGTATACAGTGTGGTTTCTGCATCAGCATCACTTGGGAACATGTCAGCAGCATCAGTCCTCAGGCCCCACCCAGACCTGCTGGATCCGAAACCTGGAGCGGCAGGACCTAAGGGCCTAGGACTCAGCACTTCATGCTAACGGGCTTTTTAGGTGATTCTGAGCCACAGTCAAGTTTCAGAACCTCTTAGATATAGACCATGATGAGATTTTTTTTTTTTTTTTTTTTGTAAAGGAGATGGTGCTTTCCTATTTGGCTTCCTATTTTGTCAACTAATTATTTCAAAACCTAGAGCTACATGTAAAACTATACTCCTTAAATTGACTCTCCTGTCATCTTCAGCCCCTAAGTACCTCTGTTTTAGAACCTTCAGACTTGTTTTCTTGAATAGCCTCTATCTCCTAATGAGAATCAGAACATTTTGCAAAGTATGAAAACAAAAGATTTATTTAAAAGACATTTAAGCAGATTTTATTATAATTGCATGGTTAACAGTAATATCTTATTTTCTATACTAAGTAGAAATTAAATTTGTGAGGCTTCACACTCACACAAAAATACTAAGAGGGAAAACACTCCATCTTACTTACGTTACTTAAATAAAATTTTGGAACCAAAATATTTACTCTAGATTTAAAAACTTAAAATTAATCCATTATTCTCTCTAAATCCAGAGATGCTGAATAAAACCAAATTAAATCTAAATTTCAAAAAGCATGATCAAACAAGATTTTTATAAATATTACATTAGAAATAAGTTTTTACTACTACCTGCTCACAGAGTCAGTTTGTAATTGTTTCAAATTTAATGAGTGGCTGGAGGCAATCACTATATTTAATTTTCAAGTAACACATCACCAGAAAATGCCTCTGGAAATATCACTTGGTTGGAAGAAATGTTTTTTCTTTAGGAGCACAGTGGAAAGTCAGCACCTACTGAGTGGGAAATACTAATCACTGAATATTTTGTTGTTTTCCTCTCCAATTAGAAACAGTCTAAATAACTTTCTACTTCTTTAGTGTACTATTTGGAAAGAAAATAGAGATTACAAGAAAACTATAAACTTTTGAGAATAATT